TCAGCGCCGCGCCTCCGCCAAGCGGAACTCTTCTTCCAACTCCGAACGCAGCCTCTCCTGGATACAACGTCCGCCTTCTTCCGCTCGCATATGGCTGTGGCTCAAATAAGTGGAGACCAAAATGACACCTTGGTAAATGGAACCAAAGACTGAACCCTGCGGTTTGCCCTAGCTCTTTCATTTTGAGCCACAGCCATATCATTTCTTGCATCAAACTATCTGCCAGAGGCTCCATTTTGAAGGTACATGGTCTTGCAGCCCCCAGTCAGGTTCCATGTTAGTGGATGGGAGGATAGCCTTCAAGCATGGCGTGCAACAAAAATGCTTGAGAGATGTCTCCGGCCCAGAAAAGTGTGGCCGCGGGTGTCAAGCCGTACCCTTCTTTTTTCCGTATTCTGTGACCATCGAGGCGGCCGCAACATGAAGCAAGGGATGCGACTGCAACCGAAACGCTTCCGCGCCAGGTATGGCCGGGGGCTGTGTTCCGAGGCTTGAACGGGGGGTTTCCAGCGCTGTTTGCGAGCCCAAAAGCCTGAGACATAACGTGACATGTCGTGTCGACATGGAACAGAGTTCATGAACCAAGTACCGACCTCTGGACTGGCTAAACACATCTCGCGGCTGCAAACGCACCAGCAACCTGAAACATTTGATTGAAGCATCGTAGGTGTGGTCGCCAAATCAACTTCTGGCCAGCATGCCGTGCTGCTGGAATCACCTATGTAATATCATTTTACGAAGAATCCAGCGTCAGCCATGCAGCACGGAGGCCTGACAAGGTCTTGAAGTATTCTAGCAACGCACCCCGACAACGCATGACTGTCCAAGCCTTACATCAACCCGTCAAAGCACAAACGCGGTCAAATAACTCTGGCTTGGCAGCAGTGTTTACCAGGAAACTTGCAACACTGCTGCTTCGGGTCAGCACTAAAGGTGCTTTGACCCATGCGACAAGTCCCACAGTCACAATATGTTTGGGATAGTAAAATGGTCAAGGCTGCAAAATCACAATCTGATGGTTGGTGCTTTCTCTGTATGTTGCCTCTTTGCAAATGCCAGATTGACATGGGCAACTTGGCGCTGTCAAGACTTTGCATCGTCACTGCATTGCCGATCTCCGCAACTGGGAGTACCGACAACACCATTGCCTTATTTCTCGCAATTGTCATACGCTGTCCAGACAGGAACACTGAAGCAGGGCGCCCAATGTGGACCAAAACAAATATGCGCTTGTTTTCGTTGGTCCACAAAAGTCCGGCCCACTTCGGAACATCTCAGCCTGAGAGCAAAGAGTCAAACTGTGTAGGCTTCAAGCCGAGTTGTTGAGTCTGGAGCAAGGTCAGGCAGGTCGCTACTCTCTCTGATTGGCTGACTTCATCACAATGACCAGTCTGACCAAGCTGGGAGCCATATGGGAAACACACGGGCTTGGGTATGGCTTCTTGTCAAAGATTGAAGCACCGAAGCACCTTCCATCCATACACCTACCAATGTAGAACTCAGAGTGCAAAAAGGCCTCACTGCGGAGGCTGGACGAATGCCCACCGGCAGGTGGGGAAACAATGCAGCAGTGTCGCATGACCCTTGACACAAAGTCATTCAAGTGTTTCCTGAATCGCTCGGGCCTCGCAACACCCCCACAAGACACAATTTTATCCGCCTGCCGATATCTGCGCAGCTATTTGCACAGCTACAGCAACATCAAGGCAGAGCGATCTCTTTGAACAACCTAACTCGAGTCAGGTTCTTGGAGGCTGCGCCCACCGGACTGGCCAAACGCTTCGCTAGAAAAAGCACCTTCCCCGGGAAAAGACCATTCGCTTCGATGGAAAACAGCACCTCCTTGTCTCTTTCTTCTTCTTGTTTCTGTATTTATTTTCGGCTTTGGCATGCAGTCTTGGAGGCAGCAGTCGTTCCAAGGAATTGCAGTCAAATCTGTGCAGAGACGGCAAGCCTGCATTCGAGACAGCGCGCCACTAACAGTGCCGCGTGTTTTTTGCAGTCGGTTCCTATCGCTGGCACCCAACCGACGACCAAGGAGGTCAGGAATTGCCATTTCTGGGTGCAATGCTTCTGGGCCAGGCCAAGAAGACTCTGGAAAACATGTCAAAAGGCCTCGTGCAACATGACCTGGTTTGGTTGCCCCATGGAAAAGCAAACTTCCACTCAACTGGAACTGCTGCCGTCTTCTTGTGCTTACTACCTGGCAATTTTGGAAACACTTGTCGATTTGCAGAGGACTGCAAGACGAGGTTTTCTTCCGCAGCTGGTACGAAACCGAGCCGCGCATGCAGGCGTGTTCGCCTGTTTGTCACTTCACAGGTTGGAAAGCTCTAACCAAATGATGTAACATGTCTATGATTTGTTGTCAAGGACCGACTTTGAGATACCAACCCAATCGAATTGAAGCGGCGACAGCTAGGGCGTTTTTTGCATTGCCCTTCAGCTAGACGCTGAACGTCGACTCTTTTATTGGAGCTTCATGGACACCGGTTAAAAGTATCCGTCCGGAAAACGCCGAGGCGAGACTTCCAGTGGATGTGTGGTATCGATTCAGTGCCCACAGCCCCTCCACTCCCCCCATCTCCATGTTTCAGATCATTGTCCAGGAAGCCAATCAGAACGGCTGACCTGAGATCAAAGCATGTCGAGCAACATTTGGGTCGGGCTCACTTGTCAAAGCGTGGAAAGGGAAAAGCAAGGGGCATCTACATTCCAAGATTCTGGATTGAAAGTGCTGCGTAGACCCCATGCAACATGTGGCCATGGGTCAAAACCCAAATCGGTTAGCCCCCAGTGAACATCCCCACTGCCCCACCTAAAATAGGTTCCGAACCTGGTGAATGCACCGATCCCCCAAAATGGGATCAATTCCAAAACGGTCTTGACCACCACAGCCACGGTTTTAACCCACAGCCTCACAGCCAAGTGGCACGTCGCCATGGGAATTTTGCCTCCCCCCCGAATTTGGAACTTTCGACCGCGCCTCCGAGGAGAACACTGAGATTCGCCAAGTTCGTGGGACCTGAGTCTCCGTCGTCTCTCGCTGCCGCGGGGGATGGACGCAGCCTTTCCGGGCTCCAAGAAACTGGGCAGGTCTACAAAAACGCACTCGGTCTCAACCTGACCAAAAAAATGGGGGGTGAAAAAAGAAGAAAACAAACAAAAGATTGTTTTATTTATTTATTTTTTTTTTAAAAAAAAAAAGGAGCAAAGGCCCGGGCCAAGACGCGAGGCCATGAGCAGCGGCAGGGCCTCCGAGACGAGCCATCCGCCCCATCCACCCCGACACGTGCTTCACGCCACAAAGGCCCCAGCCGTCTCCTCTTGGCGAGCCTACGGACAAGCGCAAAGCACCGGCCCTCGACTCGACTCGACTCGACTGCACTGGCTCGACTCGACTCGACTCGTCTTTTTTTTCTCCCGCCTGCACCAGATTGAGCAGCTGCTGCCGGAGGGCAGCTTGATTCATCAGAGCCTCACGCGAAGCTGAACTTGGGTCAGAACTTGGAAAAGCGACAAGCCATTGAGCCTACTAGATCCCAGTGTTCCAAGGTGAAACAATCGCAGAGCCAACTGCAACTGTGGTGTCGTTGATATTGAGTCAAAGAGCCAGCCTGCCCAGAATGCAAGAAACAAGCGCACACCGCAAAAAAAAAAGAAACATGTCTGTTCCTTGCTCTCAAAAGGGAAATGATGTCTTCCTTTGACAATCCGCATGCTTCCAGCCTGGCAAACATGTGCTTTGTTGTCAGCTGATTCCATTTCTGTATTGCCTCCCTGCTGAACTGATCATTTTTTCTTGTTCGACGTCTTGGGGGAGAGGGTATCAACACACCAAGCCTCCACGTTGATCTGTTCGTTGATCTGGCTGCACTGCATAGCCAGAGCCTACAGCTTCCAAGACCCAGCCGAGTCAAAAAATCGGGTACACCCGGTACTAAAATGGTGGATCCCCAGAGTGCAAAGAATTGAACACTCGGAATTCCGCACCCATCTACCCATCTACGGCAAGGGGTTCTACCCCATTTATCGTATATGGTTAGGGTTCTGGCTGGTATCATCCTTACTACCCTAGATTGTCCTCAAAAAAAAACCGCCCTCACTACTAGAATTTTCTCAAACAATGACCAACGAACGGGATTCTCCGCAAACGGGATTCTCCGGAGCGGTACCCTCCACTTTCCCCCGGGTTTTTTTTGAGCGCAGGCGACTCTCCTCCGAAATTTCCGCCGGGCCCTGAGCTGCTGACATTTACAGAGGCGCGGAGCTTACGGAGTTCCGCCTGACGCGAGTCGCTGACTTGGCGCGATGGTGTGGATGGACAAATCCTGCACCAGTTGGGAAGCATGGGAAACCACGGTTTGTTGGCATTTACAGGGGAAGAATCCCCCCAGGGTTTCTCAGGTGGTGCAGGATTTCGTCCATCCACAGCAGGTACGGAAGGACACTCGGCGAGGCCGGGGCTTTGGGGGAATGAAGCGTTGAGGAGTGCAGTTGACGTTGATCCATTGATCCCTGTTTTGGGGATAAGTTTCTCAGACAGTACCATTAGCCTTCTGTTCAGAAACGTCGCGGTTTCTGGAATCCCGGGAAATCAGAGGGCTGGGTTTCTGTTTCGGTGCCATTCCAACTCCTTCCGATGAGAATCAATCAAGAAACTCTGGGCGAAATTCCGGCCTCCAGCAAAGGGTCATACCTGGCGCATGCGAGCGAGCGAGCCTCTCGCTTTCAATTCCCCCGTGGAAAGGCTGCGGTTGGCGCACGTGCCGTTGTTGAGCTGTGACAGAGAAGAGGCTGTCAAGGGACCACTTGAACCACCATTCGCAGGATTGGTAGGCACAGGTGCGGGTGCAGGCCTCGGGTCAGCCAATGGGTCTCTGTCTTTCTTTTAGTGGAACCCCCCCAAACAAAAACACATGGCTTCGGCTGTCCTTTTGGTGTCCCTTTCAAGCAGCGGTACCAAAAAAGCAATGGACAACCCACAAGAACCTCCGGCTGAGGAACTTCCCCGTATTCCGGGCAAGCGGCTTTGGCGCCGGCTCGGGGCGTCCAGT